GACAATCCTGCTCATCAGAAGCCCTATCCTAAAAGTTAACTATATGAAGATTAGTCAAGTTGCTTTCCACCCTTCTGAGCACTGCCTTTTAAAGCCACCTTTGCAGGTTTTCATTTGGTTTTGTTTGGTTCAAGGAAACAAGTTGATACAAATATGAATTGTAAACTCTCCTTCAAAGCTTGGAATTCTAATAGAGCCAAGAGTTGAAAAGAAGTCTGATCCCTGTATCTTTTATCCTTCCGTGATGACATTTTATGTGCATTTGGAAAGTTGATTGCTTCCTGGTGGAGAACTGTGTTGACAAGACCCTGAAAGTGATGAAATCAGAGGTACTAAGCATCCAACAATGCCTTGCATTAAGAGATTAGCAAATAGCTAGTGATTATGGAAGTCTACCTGGCATCTTTCCAAGGGCTGTAGAAGCAAACTGAATACTCTCTACTAGACAAGTAATTCCAAGTAATTTGATCTTCTGGCTGCAAACTTCATTGCAAGCTTTTTGTTTTAAAGATCTCTGTTGTACAGAATCCTCAGGACACAGGGATTCTCTACTAGTAGATGTCTCTCACAGGAAACATATTATTTGACCTGCTCATAGACTGCTCCATAAGGTATCAAACCCTCCTTTGTATCTCCTTCCACTCACCATCCCCACCTGAAAAAGCATAATATTTCTAAATGAGCTTCCCATGCCTTCAGATGTCTCTGTAATCTTTCAACACATAGAGACAGAATGTTGGTCATGTGAATAAAAGGACATTTGCCAGAACCTCCTCTGATTTCCTTTTGTGTTGTTACAGTTACTCTTGATATATATCTGTCAATTTATTTTTTTAAGATCTTCTCCCTGCACAGACAGAGATATCTTTGACTAACAAGCAAATTCTTTTCATTTTTAGATTTGACTTATTCATTTTTTTTTTCATTATTCCATTATTTCTTTTATTGGTTCAAAAAATGTCAATAATTACATGACATTGTAATGCTACAAGCAGAAAACCTATGCAGGTGTAGCACCGACAGTGGTATTATAATACTGTTTAGATATCCAGCAATATAACTCTATGCAAGAAATAATCTGGATCTCTGTGGTTAATACAGAAAGCTGCCCCAAAGCAAGTCAGGTCAATTGACCTTTGATCACAGATCTGTGACCGGTGCGTTTCCCAGAGTCTCTTGTAGAGGAAGTTCCCATAGTTTACTAACGGATTTTAATTAATGGACATGTGAGAGGCTGAATTAATTTGTATCCCGCCTTTATTATTTTTAAAATAACTCAAGGTGGCAAACATCTCCAACACACTTTCCTCCTCCTATGTTTCCCCCCACAACAACAAACTTATCAGGTGGGTTGAATTAAGTGGTCTTGTGGGCCATTAAGTGGACAGAGTCCCAAGTAAGGAGCATGGAGTGTCTCCAGGGGATGGGAGAGACCCTGGGTGGTCCATAGAAACCACACATCATTATCTCTGCTCAGGAACTGAAAATCCTACTGTCAAAATCTAAGCAGGATATTCAGCCCTGAACAGAGAGACATACATGAATGGCCTGCACCAGGGTTCCCAGCCCCTCTCCCTTTCAGGCACTCTTGTACTGTTTATCTTACCACACTGAGAACTGATCAGGGCAGAATATACCAGATCACCTATTCTTCAGGTTTCTGGAGCACAACCAAGACTTAGATGACCATAACTGAGCAGCAAAAATCCAGATAACCATTAAAGAGAAACAATGAGCTGCAGAAAGTTCTAATTTGCAGCTGTTGACTTGCTGCCATCCCTACTACTGTAACTCTAAGCTGGTAGCTCCTGTCCTGTGGAGGCACCCCCCACACACAAAAAAATTTGGCCAACACCAATTCTTGCTTTATCCCCTAATCATAGGATTGCCTAAAGTTCTCATTAAGCAACTATAGCACAAAAGCCCTGATTTACCTTAGTAACTTAACATGATTCTAACAATAGAAGGCACAATATCCATGAATTCCATAAATTTGTTTTAAGAATGTTTTTTTTTTCATTTCTTCTCCCAAAATTTCCTGCTAATTTTTCAAAGGGATGCCAAAATCCCAGTATTAAAGCACTATATACAATCTGAAGCAAATTACCTATCATTGTTATAGCTATTTATTTCAATTTATATTCATTCAATTTATATATCACCCATCTCACTTTTATGTGATTCTAGGTGGCTTAAAATAAAATCCGTAAAATACACAATATAGTGCAAAAATGAAGATAAAACATGTGGTTGCCAGACATTATTCAACTCATCATCCACACAGTCAAGAAATGGGCTTTATCCCACATTCAGGGCCCCAGGTTATTCTTCTGCATCCGATGCTCAGAATCAGTTAAAATGGCATCACTATGCACAAAAGAGAAATATTAGTTGCTTTAGGTTTAGAGGAAACTTCAAGCTTTTCAGAAGTACAAGAGTAAACTACAACAAACTAAAAGGGAGAGTGTTCAGAAATAGATTAGAGACCGCTGAGCAAGCTTAAGGGCCACAGAATTTTCACTGACAATTGTGGAGAGGAATCAGAAAACTAGGGAGGAAACAAGAAGGGAGCAAAAAAGACTGCAATCTTCAATAGAACATTTTGTACTACAATATTTTGATATAGGTTGATACAGGTCTCATTTCTTGTCTTTTTGCAATGCTATCTATTCTTTTCTTTCACAATGCCCTGTAAAATGCAGGTTTAAATGGACCTAGGGCCAAAGAGCTTCCAGTCTAAGCACTAGAGAATTCCTCAGTCAGAGATAGAGCAGGTACTGAGGAATTGAAGAAACTTACAAGATCAAAGAATTTTTCATTCAAACTCTTGCTAAATCTGAGGTCCAGCTGCTAAGCAAAAATCTTAACCTACTAAAAAATACATATTGCTATGTGGTTGGGCATTTTTGTTGCCCACGTGCTTTTCACCTATTACTTATTGTTCCTTCTTGTACTCTTCCTTTTGTAACTCATGTAAATTAGGAAAATATAGGCCCAAGAGTACAATGAACCAAAAGTCAGTTACAACAACCCAGTCCATGGTTCCAGACAAACCTATTTATTCAATTCTATTTTTAAAAACACTTTCCTTGCTCAAAAGGAAAAAGAAGGCAGTTTGAAAAAATAACTAGTACAGCACAAAACATTAAAATGTAATGTTGCTCCTTAAAAATCATATGCATGTCAATGGAAATTATGAAATTCTTACATATGTACCTTCCCCAGATTGGCGCTTAAGGTGCTGGATTAGGAGTAGAGACTCAAGTCCAAGTCTACCCTCAACATGGGAACTCACTTTGAACCAATCATTCTCTTTCAGCCAAACATATCTCACAGGGCTGTTATTGTGGAATATAAATAAGAGGATACTGTATGTACACTGCCTTGGGATTCTGAATGAAAAGAAGACTGAAAATCAAATATATAGATGTATACTACTATGTTTATCTTTACCTCAATAAGTTCCATTCAACTGAGAGGGACTGGATTATAACAATGCACTAAGACAAACCTAAACAAGCCATGTTATGACTTACTCTGTTATGTGAATCTAGGTTCTGAGAAATTATGCATAAAAAATAAACAGAACATGTAAATTCCAATAACTTTTGAATTCTGATCTTCATTTAAAACCAAAAGGTTCTTCCTCTTAAATTTTATATTAGAACTTAAGATATTTATATCTGGTTTATTACTTCATTATATCAAGGTTTTTCTGAACAAAGTTTATTTAATAAACCATAGTTAGCTGAATGTGCAAAACATATTACACTGAAACCAATAAATATTATGGCTTAGCATGATTTGGGAACTCAGTCTTCATCTCTAAGTGTCAATTCTCTACTTACTAAAAAGCTAGTGGTATTTACAGTAAGTGGAAAGATCCATCCATATGAAAGATTTCAAATTTAAGCTCATGTCCTATTGCTTATTGACTATATCCTGTTGAATATTTAGTAAACAACATTTCCTTTAATCCAAAAACCTGCCATTTAGAGTAGGTGATACAGGACTGTTATGCTCCAATGGTGTAATATATGGCAGAATCATTAATTTTGGGACCACAAACAATCTAGGTTAAAAAAAAAGTCAGTAATTTTCATAAGCTTCATAATTTTCTGTAATGCTACTAAGAATGAGTTTAGTAACTGAAAGGAAAAATTACTTGGGAGGATGAGGAAACTGGTAAATTTAAATAGGAAGAGACTTTTACAGTGGTAGATGCAAAAGGAACTAAACTTTTAATACTGTAGCTATATGAAGATACCCTGCGAGTGAAATTAGGCCAGTTTTGGGAGTGGTCTTATGCCAGAAAGGAAAGTAATGCCCCCTTCCAGATCTATAACAGCATGTTCCGTAACCTTTAAACATCTCCAAAGCAATTTATCTTTAAATAAAGTTATTAAATTCAGCATAATATAAAAATCCGCAAGAGTAAGCAACATGTAAGCTTCAATGTTAGAAAATATTCTTAGAATTCTTAGAACAAATTATCTTAGAATGTGGAACACTGCAAACAGCACCTTTGATCACAATGCATGGATAAGTCTGCAATCTCAGAATCTGAGGTTGCAAATCTTCCAAAATTCGACACTCCCCACAATCTTGATATGTACAATTAGATGGGGGGAAAAAACCCAGAAAGCAACTTTTTTTCTTTGGAAACTTTCAACAAAATTTAACAGGAACATTTTGAAATAGGTACCACCTCCTAGAAATTTGCTCCGCACATTTTTCCACCAAAGTAGAAAGCATATTCTTTTGTTCTTCCAAATTGCCTTTCTTGTTTATTTATATGTCACTATTTATTTATTAAATGTGTACAATATACTGCCCAAATGCTTAACAATATTAAAAAAATGGTCTTGTTTTAGTCCCACCATTACTGTAGAAGTCTAGTGTTCTTCTTAATTCTCAGAGTCAGTTTGATCCATTGCGAAGAACAAAAACATGGTTATTTATTAAACAACTAGCATTGGAGAACATGAAGAGCCACCTACCTGAGAAAGAAGTTTGTTATCATCCTCTAGCAGTTTGACTTTTGTTTCAAGTTGTCTGATGTAGTTGGAAGATGAATCTTTAAAGAAGAAAGGGGGGGTAGAGATTAATCTTCAGAAGAGATGATACTTTAAAATCAGGCAAGATAGCTTCACTGCTAGACTTAAGATTTTCTCATGAAAAAAAAAAAAAACTAAAAAGAAAGGAACACAAAAACACAGGGAAGTGAAAAAGCCTACCATAACCCAAAGTCTGCATTTGCCACAGAAGAGTGGAAAAAGTAAGGGGCTGGCCCGCATCGCTTTGGCCCGGTCTACCCAATGTGAAGAGGAAACATGCCAGCAGTTTGGGGAGTTGGCCACATCCATCCAGTTGGGCATGTCCACCTGACACCCCTCCCGAGGTCAACCACAACCCTGATGCGGCCCTTAATGAAATTGAGTTTGACACCCCTGTTCTAATACTAGAGAATCTTGTAGATAGAGGATATCTTTTAAGATGTCTCATTGTTGACATCTCTACTGTAGAAGAATTTCAATATGCTCCTTCCAACTCTGTTTGGTCTTTTCTGAATCAATTACTATCTGGTTCAATGGTTTCCTTTAGCATATCAGTTTGTAGTTGGAACCTCCTTCTGGGTTCAGAGATCTTTTGGAAGACTGCTTGTTTTTCTTTTCTGTTTCTATCTTCAGTGTTGTTACATTTATTGTAATATTGTTTTTTGCCTCTTTCTGATAATTTTAATTCTTAAATTTATTTCAGTGATTTGTGGTGGAGGGGAGGGAATTAAACATTGACTTCTTTTTTGTTTTTCTTGGCAAGTTTTATCGTTTGTTCTGACACCCAATTTGTTTTTTTCTATTTCTTCCTTTTTCTTGAGTTCTTTTAAACCCATCCAATTTATTTGATTCATTCCACATTCTTTGGTTCCCAAACAATAAGGTAGAGGACCTCAAATTCCTGATGTTCTCCTTGAAAATGGTAGGTATATGCTTAAAAGCATATCATGTTTTTTTCTTCCACTTTAGCTTAATTAGCTTAATCTAGAAATCATTGGATTGGCTGAAATTGGTAAGGCAGTTTCCTGCTTCATTTCAGTTTCCTAGACAGTATAATTATCCTTTTCCCCTTAATATTTCCAACTTCAGAATTCCAGCCTCCAACTACAAGCAGCTTACTTTGCTTGCATATTCTGTCGATTTCAATCTTAATTTGAAGATAAAATTCCTTCGGTATCAGTCTTTAGAGCAGAAATCTAGATAATTGTCATATTATTCTGAATTCTAATTGATATTATTGTCATTGGTTGCATTCTAGTAAAGTACAGTTCTTGTTATAGTCTTCCTAGTTATGAAGCCATTTTAGAACCTCTTTTGTTTTGTATCAAATTTTGCATTATTTGAAAGATTGCTTTTAGCAATAACAATATTGGTTTTATTCAATTCTGTATTTATTCTGAATGACTTTTGCTATGCTCAGTAAATATCTATTTTATCAGATATTTTAACCAACTATCTATAAATTTAAAAAAGAATAGCCATATTCACCATGAAAAATATATACCCCAAATCATATTTTAAAAAAATTATACACACGCTTTTAAGAAAACAGAACATTTCCTATTTTTTAAAATACTAAAATCATTGCTTACTGATAACTACAAGAACATTTTCCATCCGCATTTATTGATGTACCAAAATATTTATAGCTGCCAATTAAGCAAAGAACAGCTTAGCAGCTCCAATAATGGAAACTACAAGTTACACTCAATCAAACCGCTGCATTGAGACCTTAATTTTCATTTAAATGAAAGAACTATTTAGATCTTTGCATTCCCTCCCATAAGGGAAAGCAAAACATTCGTTGTGACATTCAATTTCACTTAGGCATGTTGTATCAGTATACTATGGCAGGAAAGGAAAACTGAATGAATTATGCTACTGCCAATGCAAATTGCCTAGGGAAAAAAAGTAACCTGGTGCCCTTTATCTGCTTTTCTTCAAGATTAATCTCCAACATCTTGTCAGCATTGTTCATCTGCTACAAATGGTGAATGTATAAAATGGGTGGGTGGGAGGGAGGGAGGAAATTCTACAATAAAAAAAAACCCTTGACGTCTACAATCACAGTGTCCTCATTCACACACCGGACAGAGCCATAGTTAATTTCATCACTATTTCATAAGTAAACTATAATTGGCTTCGTTCACATAACACTGCCAACTCAGGTTACAGATTTCAAACAATTAAGCCAAGTTAGTTCTAGATCCAGCACATAAGCAGTCCTCACCTAATGGCCATTCATTCAGTGACTGTTCAAAATTACAAAAGCAATGAAAAAAATGGTTGGTTATGAATGGTTCTCAAAGCTGCATTGCAGCACTCCCACAGTCACATTATCAAAATTTGGGCACGCTTGGCAGCCAGCGCTGATAGTATTACCTAGTCAGGTAATTAAATGTCTGTAAGCAAACAACCAAGCTCAGAGAGCATCAAGGGCTCCACTGATGCAAATTATGATAAGCATTAATGTAACAGAAAGAAGCATTTGGAATGATAATTATGAGGAGGCTATGATTTAAAAAACCAATTGTGCCTTATTATTGTGAATTTACTCTGAATTATTATAATGTAAAGGTCTAAAAGGGTACAGTTTGCATTAATCTATCCCATTCATTTTTCCCCAGAGGCAAAAGAAACTGAAACAAGTCCAGAACAATGAGATAACATTTGGAAGCAGCTCGGCAGACATCGGATTAATTTACTGGAGTATAAGATGGAGGTAGGTGGCTTTAAGCTTCCTGTAGAGTTGATTTCCTGGTCTTGTTTTCTTAGTGAAGCTGGGGGTATGACTCAATTCACATGTAACTGGACTGGACTGAAAACAAGCCAAGAACATTGCCTCCACAAAGAGTTTATATTCAAGTAGTAGGTTGGTAACCACAGAGTTTACAAGAACAATAGGGGTACATATATATGAAATGGCACCCAGGAAATCGAGCTGGCTGTCAGAGGAGAAATGGAATACTTGTCCCTAACTCAGCTTAGAAAGCAACACATTTCACAGAAATGCAGAGCATGGAACACTCCATCCTTTTTCAAGCCCCCAGGAGGCCACTAAATAGTTTGCAGTCTAATAGCTTTTGTGAGTTTATTTACAAGCTTAGAGGAAACTAAAGTCCCAAATACAATATCAATACTAATGACAAGAAATACATAGTAGAAATAATGAGGAAATATGTAGGAAGCAGAGTGTACACCACAATTTACTCCTGTGTCTTGTCACAGAGCAATCATTTTTTGGAAGCCAAATTGAAAAATCATTATAATTTCTGAAAGAGTTTTATTTCTGGCAGAAATTTTTTGGTGACAAGTTCAAACCTGGTTTCCTTTCACATTTCTCTGATCTCATTAATTACATGTTTTTACGTTTATTTGTACAGGGTTGTTGTTGCTGTTGTTGTTGTTGTTGTTGTTGTTGTTGTTGTTGTTGTTTTTTGCTTCTTCAGGTCAATATTGACTCCTAGCAACTGCCTGGAGAAGTCCCTGCAGTTTTCTTGGCAAGATTTCAGAAGTGGTCTGCACTGCCTTCTTCCTAGGGTTGAGAGAAAATGAGGTGGTCCAAAGTCACCCAGTTGGCTTCGTGCCTAAGGCAAGACTAGAATGCAGAGTCTCCCAGTTTCTAGCCTGGTGCCTTAACTAGTACACCAAACTGGCTCTCATTTATTCAGCTTACAAAGATCAAAATCATTCAGGCAATGGTATCCCCTGTAGCATTGTATGGAAATGAACGTTGGAAAGCAGCAGAACAGAAACTACTGGTATTTTTGAACTTTGGTATTGGAGAAGAGAGGGACGCAGTAGCGCAGTGGCTAAGACGCTGAGTTGTCGATCAGAAAGGTTGGCAGTTTGGCAGTTCGAATCCCTAGCGCCGTGTATAGGAGTGGGCTCCCGTTACTTGTCCCAGCTTCTACCAACCTAGCAGTTCAAAAGCATGTAAAAATGCAAGTAGAAAAATAGGGACCACTTTGGTGGGAAGGAAACAGCATTCCGTGTGCCTTTGCCGTTTAGTCATGCTGGCCACATGACCACGGAGACGTCTTTGGGACAGTGCTTGCTCTTTGGCTTTGTAACGGAGATGAGCATTGGCCCCCAGAGCAGGAAATGACTAGCACTTATGTGCGAGGGGAACCTTTGCCTTTATCTATTGGAGAAGATGTCTGGGCATAGTCAAGAAAACAAATAAATGAATCACAGAGCAAATTTACTCAGAGTTTTCACTTGCGGCACAAATAATAAGTCTCAAATTATCACACTTTTGCACATTTTATTTGATATCTTTAGTGTTGGGAAAGGTGGAGAAAAGAGAAGAGGATGATCAACAGCAAAATGAATGGATTCAATGAGAATAGGGTGCATTTCTGGAACAGCCAGATTGGGGATAAATAAAAAATAAATGAATTTAAATGACTGTCTATCAGTAATATATAGAATATCCACAGCCAATATTACAGGATGTTTTGAAAGCTTCAGAGAACTGCTATGACCTATAACACTAATTCTGTGCTTAATTACTGTCATAAGTTGAAGACAAAAGCTACACAGGTAGATTTTGATTTAAGATTATTCAGTCAGTGACTGAATGAAAAGTAACTTACAACCGGTCCTCACACTAATGATGACTGCAGCATCCCCAAAGTCATGAGAACATGATTCAGGTGTTTGGCAACCAGCATCTATTTATGATGGTTGCGGCTTCTGAGGACATGTAGTCTATGGAGTAAGGGTTATTTGTTTAATGCTGGTAGTGATTTACTGAACGACCATGGCAAATAAGATTGTAAAATTGGGTATGGTCACGTGATGACTCATTAAATGATCATATCATTTATTGATGGAAACTCCAGTCCCAATTGTGGTTGTAATTGGAGGACAATCTCTGTACATGCTTTCTTTTGTTTTTCTCCTCTCCTTATTTTGTCAACTTTTTGTTATTATGGTATTAATGTATTTCATAGAAAACAGCCAGCAGCTGTCTTTATTGTTAAATAATCCTTTTTCTTGTTTCTGTTTTTTAAAG